CTAGGTGGTGATAGAATTGGGATTTAAATCCTAGACTGAGTCCTGGATACTAGTCACTTTTTTTTTTTTTTAACTGATGAAAATCTAAGAGCTGGTTTTTCTTAGCAAGGACATTTTCTTTAGAGGGTGCCTTACTGGAAGACCAAGATATAAAATATGTACAGGACAGAAGGAAGCTGTTACTGTCATTTTTTAAGAGATGGGGTTTTTGCTATGTTGCCCAGGCTAGAGTACAGGCTATTCCCAAGGCTGCTCATGGTGCACTAGTCCCGGGCTCTGGTGATCCTCCTGCCTCAGCCTTCTGAGTTGTTGGGACTACAGGTGCATGCCACTGCACTTGGCAGGCCTCTTCTTTTTAGCTCCCTATTCTCAGCCCTGCAGCTTCTCCAGGAGTCCTCTGCAGGGCATGCTCCTTCATGACTCTGGGCAGCAGCATTTGAAAACTGTAGACAATCTCCATGGGGTGTGCCGCCAGCAGAGTCCAGGGCTAGGCTAGATGGAAAGGACCACACAGAGTGTAGAAAGGACTGAGTTGGGGCACCTACGGGTTATCGATGTCATCCCGCAGCACGTTGAGAGTGTAGTACACACGGCCCTGGAAGTAGAGGCGGTGGAGGTGCTCAGTGAGGTCCTTCCTCCAGCTCACATACAGCAGGTTACAGGTGAACTGATCAAAGCTCTTCAGCTGTGCAGTGGGGGAAGCAAGGGGAAGGGAGAGATGGCTTCCTGAAAGTCTCAGCTTAAAGCTCAAGGCTGGCAGGAGCCTCTGCAGATCGGTCCCAGCTCCGATTACTCTGTCCACTCAACACTTTTCTTGTTTACATCATCAGGTCATGGGACTTTCCCTTCCTCACTCACTCACGTGTTCACTCCTTCACCAAATATTAAAGGGCTTACCAAAGGCAAGACCCTCAAGCCCCCTTTCTACACTGTCTTATTTTGAGAGTAGATAAGCTTCTGAAGATTGGAGACCATATTTCCTATTCCATTTATGTTCTTACTCCTTTGTCCCCCAGGCATGAGACAGGGATTTGTATACATAGGGCCCCTTTCTACACTGTCTTATTTTGAGAGTGGATAAGCTTCTGAAGATTGGAGACCATATTTCCTATTCCATTTATGTTCTTACTCCTTTGTCCCCCAGGCATGAGACAGGGATTTGTATACATAGGGCCCCTTTCTACACTGTCTTATTTTGAGAGTGGATAAGCTTCTGAAGATTGGAGACCATATACCCTATTCCATTTATGTTCTTACTCCTTTGTCCCCCAAGCATGAGACAGGGATCTGTATACATAGGTGCTTACTGACCAAAGACCCAACAAAAATGACCATGGTTTGACAAGAAGTGGCTTTCCCAAGAAAACAGGCAGTACAGCTTGGCAGAGAGCATCAGGCTTGAGTTCTGGCGGAGCCCTGAATCTCATCATTTACCATTTCCAGAGCACCTATATGCTAAGCACTAGGGACATTATGAGCTCACGGTTTAGCCAGAAAACAATTACAAGGGTGTGGGGAGTGTTACAACAGAGGTAAACTCAAGGAATTAAGTACAGAAAAAAGGCAGAGTTTGGTAGAGGAGACACAAAGGAGAAAGCTGAGGAAGACTTGAAAGAGGTGACAAGAGGGATCATGAAAAGTGAGCCTACTGAATGAGGGGTAGAAGAGGAGGCCATTCTGCAAGAAAGCACCAGTTCAAAGCCTGGGAGGTGTAACATGGTGCCAGAGTGAGTCACAGGCCTCGGATCCACAGAGAAGGAGCAGCAGCTCTGGCTGCTCAGCCCAGTTTTAATGAGCTTCCTGAAACAAGAGTTCTAGGAAGGAAAGGGGCAATGATCAGTTCTGCTAAATACTGAATTCAACCAGAACCTGTGGCCTGGGCCCAGGAGTTGAAACATCTGAGGAATCAGTCCCAGGTAGGCCAATAGCAAGATCAACATGCTTAAGGGTAACCATCCCTTTAGTTCCCAGAAAAGGGAGGAAACACACCCCTATAGCTAGCTTCCTGCTTCCTGGAGGCTAAGTCCCACTGGGCATTACTCTCACACTAGACTGGAGAGGAAAAGACACAGAGAGAGGGAAAGATCTTACCGTGGAGTTCAGAACAATGAGCATGACAGCCAGGAATGTCAGAGTCTTAAACGCTTCCAAGTTTTTGTTTCCCAGGACCCCATAGTACTGACTGGGGATCAAGCCAACCTGGTAGATCACCAATTGCTCTGAAATGAGGGAGGGGAGTAAGAAATCAGTGATGAGGGTAAAAAGAAGGGAGGCTTCTTCCCCAGTCCCCGCCTCATCAGCATCCCAAAAAGATGGAAAGGGGCTGGGTGCGGTGGCTGACGCCTGTAATCCCAGCACTTTGGGAGGCTGAGGTGAGTGTATAACCTGAGATTGGGAGTTCAAGACCAGCCTGACTAACATGAAGAAACCCTGTCTCTACTAAAAATACAAAATTAGCTGGGCATGGTGGTGCATTTCTGTAATCTCAGCTACTCAGGAGGCTAAGGCAGGAGAATCACTTGAACCTGGAGGCGGAGGTTGCAGTGAGCCAAGACTGCGGCATTGAACTCCAGCCTGGGCAACAAGAAGAGCAAAGCTCCAACTCAAAAAAAAAAAAAAGAGAGAGACGGAAAGGGACCCCAAACCAGGGCTTCCTCTAGCCTGGGCTCACTCACTCACCCAGTAGGGTCAGGCACAAAAGGGTCAGGAACATCAAGGCATTCTGTGATGACCAAGAAGGAAACAAAACCTTCTGTATCTGCAGGAACCGCTGAAGAAATTGCAGATCTAACCTGGGCCTGAAGAGAGGCAGAGAAAAGCCCAAGAGAGTAAGTAAGCCTTAAAGAGTAGTTATTAAGCTTATCCACATTGTTCTGTAGAGAGTCCAGGCCATGTAGAAAAAATGGTTTCCAAATGCTTTGGCCAAAGCCAAATAATTTTCTTTCTATCTTTGTTCTGTTCCGAAGATGGTAGGCTGGGAACAGACCAAAGATAGAAAGAAAATTATTTGGCCAAGCCTGGTGGCTTACGCCTGTAATCCCAGGACTTTGAGAGGCTGAGGCAAGAGGATTGCTTGAGGCCAGGAGTTCGAGACCAGCCCAGACAACATGGTGAAACCCCATCTCTACTAAAAACACAAAATCAGCCGGGGTGGTGGCACACACCTGTAATCCCAGCTACTCGGGAGGCTGAGGCAGGAGAATAGCTTGAACCCAGGAGGCGGAAGCTGCAGTGAGCCAAGATTACGCCACTGCACTCCACCCTGGGTGACAGAGCGAGACTCCATCTCGAAAAACAAAACAAACAATCAAAACTGTCATTGGCAGATGATGTGATCATTTACACAGGAAACATAAGCAAATCAAAAGACAAACTGTTAGAAATAAACAGAGTTTACTTATGTCGTTAGATATACAAATATCAATAGTGTTTTTCTGTACCAGCAATAATCAATTAGAAAATATATAGAAAGAAAATAAGATATTGTTTACAAAAGCAAAAAACCTACAGAAAATCTATCAAATATCCAGGATTTAACTTTTAAAAAGAATATATTAGACATTTTACAGGGAAAAACTCTATTATAGGACATGAAAGAAGACCTAGAAAGACAGCGTTGGCATGAACATTATAAAGACCTCAGTTCTAACAAAAGTAGTCCATAGGTCGGGCATGGTGACTTATGTCTGTAATCCCAGCACTTTGGGGGGCCCTGAGGTTAGGAGTTTGAAACCAGCCTGGCCAACATGATGAGAGCCCGTTTCTACTAAAAACACAAAAAATTAGCTAGGGGTGGTGGCTCCTGCCTGTAATCCCAGCTACTCAGGAGGCTGAGGCAGGAGAATCGCTTGAACCCAGGAGGCGGAGGTTGCAGTGAGCCGAGATCCACCACTGCACACCAGCCTGGACAAGAGCAAAACTCCGTCTCAAAAAAAAAAAAGAAAGAAAATGTACACGATGGGATACCACCTTGCAACCACCAGAGTGATAAACATTACAAAACCAACCACCACCAAACAATGGAGGGATACAGGGAAACAGAAGCTTTATGCACTGCCCTTCGGGAAGTACAAGCTGGTGTGACCATCCCAAAGAACAATGAGGCAAAATTAGGTATGACCAAGACCCAACTCTGCGAATGCACCAATATCCACAAGGAGACAACTGCCGGAATATTCATTACGGTGTGGCTTGTGGGGGTGTTAATATTAGAACTAAATCTAGGTATCCACCACTAAACTAGGGGAGCAAGTAAAACGGGGTCTATGCACGTAGCACCATGCATCACTCAGAAGTGAAAGCGAAATGACTAGATAGCATGGACGGATTAAAAAACACAGTGTTGAGAAAAAAGGTTTATTAAAGAAAAATCACAGCATATTACATCTAGGAATTCGAAACCACTATATAGATTTCAAAGTAACACATGCACAAATTTACACAAGGTGGACCGTAAAGCCACTTATTTAATACACCAGAGTGGGTGTCTGAAAAGGGAAGTGAAAGGGGTCTGGGGATAGGAATGAAGAGAGGAAGATGATAAACAAGGAGCCTTGCATTGGACCACAGGGTGCCAAGAACTGAGAAAGACAACTCAATATTGTGCACCTGAGGTTCTTTAAAAAAAAAAAAAAAAAAGGGAGACGGTCCCACACCGGGTGCAGGAGATGGCACAAGCCCGGCGAAGAACCGAGGGGTCGTGACCGGCGCCGAGTGGCCGCGGAGCGGCGGGAGGGCGGATGCCCCTTCGAGAGCTCCTCTTTCTCTGAAGTCGCGCGTGCGAGATAGGGGCGCCAGGGCGGCGGAAGAGGCGCGGAGGGCAGGAGAGCCCCTACCTCACAGCCCTGAACTCCTGCTCCCAAACCTCCTCCCTAGCTGCCCTGCTTACCTGGCGCCAGCTCCGGGCGCGGGCCCCCGGACCGCCATGATCTGAAACCCGACGGACTCTGGAGCCCTGCGACCCCGAGTTCAGCACCGGGCAGAGTCCGAGGATGGGCGGAGCGCCGGCGACCACAGAGACCGCGGTGGATAGAGAGGAAGGCGCGGGAGACACCGCCTCTCCCGGAAGCGACCGCCGTCTCTTAGAAGTACCAGAGAGTGGACTCGGGTGGCCCGGCGGCTACAGCGCCCCCATCTTGATTTGTGAGGCTTCCCTTTTGACAATAGGTGACCGGGGAGTGTAACTGTTTTATGACAAGTATTTTAGATTCTGAATATAATAGATGTTTTGTATATTCTCCCAGATAAGCCAGCATGATCTTTAAAAAAGTATAATTTAGGCTTCCAACCAGGCTCACTTCTGTAATCCCAGCACTTTGGGAGGCCAAGGTGGCAGTATCTCTTGATCCCAGGAGTTCAGGACCAGCCTGGGCAACATCGCAAGATCCCGCCTTTACAAAAGATAAAAATTAACAGGGCGTGTGGCGAGCGCCTGTGGTCCCAGCTACTCTGGTGGCTGAGGCAGGAGAATCACTTGAGCCCGGGAGGTCAAGGCTGCAATGTGCGGTGATTGTACCACTACATTCCAGCCTCTGCGACAGAGAAAGACCTTGTCTCAAAAACAAATAAGTAGATTATAATGATCGATAGATAAGATAGACAGTTAGTTGAATGAATGAATGAAATGCTTATCAGCTGACTTACTAGTACCCAAAGGGAGGTAGGAAATGGCTCAATAAAACAAACAGCATAACCTCACAGGGCCCTAAATTTGAATCTGGGTGTATGTTCCCGCTTTCCTTCAATTCTTACTAAGTTTCAACTGTTTACCAAACACTCCACAACATACACGTATCACTTGTCTTTATGGAAGTTGCAGTTTAGCTGGGTAGGGTCAATCAGTTGACAATGATAGCTATCTTTTTTCTTTCTTTTTCTTTTTATTGAAACAGAGTCTGACTCTTACCCAGGCTAGAGTGCAGTGGCGAGATCTCAACTCACTGCAGCCCCTGCGTCCCGGGTTTAAGCAATTCTCTGCCTCCCCTTCCAGAGTAGCCGGGCATGGTTTGTTTGTTTTTGTTTTGAGGCAGGGGCTTGCTCTGTGGTCCACGTGGAGTGCAGTGGCATAATCGCGGTTTACTGTAGTCTCCAACTTCTCCCCCTCAATCTCCTGAGACTACAGGTGTGCACCCACATGCCCAGCTAATTTTTAAATTATTTGTACAGATGAGGAACAAATACGTTGCCCAGGCTGGTCTAGAACTCCTGAGCTCAAGCAAGGTTTCTGCCTTAGCCTCCCAAAGTGCTAGGATTACAGGAGTGAGCCACTGCTCCTGGCCTCTAGTTGGTTTTTGTCTGTCTGAGAAGAAGTCTCCCTCTGTCACCCAGTCTGGAGTGCAGTAACAGGATCTTGGCTCACTGCAACCTCCACCTCCTGGGTTCAAGCGATTCTTCTGCCTCAGCCTCCCAAGTTGCTGGGACAATGGGCAAGCACCATCACGGCCAGCTAATTTTTGTATTTTTAGTAGAGACAGAGTTTCACCATATTGGCCAGGTAAGTCTCGAACTCCTGACCTCATGATCTGCCCACCTCCGCCTCCCAAAGTGCTGGGATTACAGGTGTGAGCCACCACAACTGAACTGGTGCTCTAGTTGTTTTAATCTGTCTTTTTACATTGGCTTTCGTTTTCTAAATGTTGTTCTCCAAACTACTGTATGTTTGGATTGCAGAACAGCTTGTAAAATGAATACTTGTTTTAATTGTGCATTATTTAAAATGTTCTAAGTAAAGCTAATTGTCTACTTTACAAGGAAGATTGCTCTGTGCCCACCACCTAGTATACAATAAAATCAAGTAATACAATCTTTTTTTTTTTTTTGAGATGGAGTTTCGCTGTTGTTACCCAGACTGGAGTGCCTGGCACGATCTCGGCTCACCGCAACCTCCGCCTCCTGGGATCAAGCAATTCTACTGCCTCAGCCTCCTGAGTAGCTGGGACTACAGGCGTGCACCACCATGCCCAACTAATTTTTTTTGTAATTTCAGTAGAGACGGGGTTTCACCTTGTTGACCAGGATGGTCTCGATCTTTTGACCTCGTGATCCACCATCCACCTCGGCCTCCCAAAGTGCTGGGATTACAAACGTGAGCCACCTTGCCCGGCAGGTAATACAATCTTAACTGTTGTGCCCCTCCCCACCCCCCTTTTTTTTTTTGAAACAGAGTTTTACTCTTGTTGTCCAGCCTGGATCTTGGCTCACTGCAACCCCTGCCTCCTGGGTTCAAGTGATTCTCCTGCCTCAGCCTCCCAAGAAACTGGGATTACAGGTGCCTGCCACCACACCTGGCTTATTTTTTGTATTTTTAGTAGAGAATGGGTTTCACCATGTTGGCAAGGCTGGTCTCAAACTCCTGACCTCAGTTGATCCAACCGCCTCCACCTCCCAAAGTACTGGGATCACAGGTGTGAGCCACCACACCCGGCTCTGTTGTGACCTTTTTTGATCATGAGAGTTGGTACTGTTTAAGGCTTTTTTATATAGTTTTTTTTAGGTCTTTTATATACATCTTTTAGTTTCAATTCAGCTTTTAGAATAAAAAGGATTATATTGCATTGAACAAAAACTGTATTACACCAATACTAACTTGATGTAAAATGTGATCTCAACTATGAACATAAATATAGAATTGCTTCTTGGCTTTTTGGCTAAGATCAAGTGAAAATAAACATAGATATAAATATCTGTATAGAAAAAAATCAAAATGAAGCATAGCAGAAGGCCATATAGCATATTAGCTGCTAACATTTACATTTAGCCAGGCGTGGTGGCTCACGCCTGTAATCCCAGCACTTTGGGAGGCTGAGGCGGGTGGATCATGAGGTCAAGAGATTGAGACCATCCTGGTCAACATGGTGAAACCCCGTCTCTACTAAAAATACAAAAAATTAGCTGGGCATGGTGGCGTGCACCTGTAATCCCAGCTATTCAGGAGGCTGAGGCAGGAGAGTTGCCTGAACCCAGGAGGCGGAGGTTGCGGTGAGCCGAGATGGTGCCATTGCACTCCAGCCTGGGTAACAAGAGCGAAACTCCGTCTAAAAAAAAAAAAAATTTACATTTATATTTCAGAGTTATCTTTTGAATAATATCCAGTTGTTTTTTTTTTTTGAGTTGGAGTCTCACTCTGTCCCCCAGGCTGGAGTGCAGTGACACAATCTTAGCTCACTGCAACCTCCACTTCCTGGGTTCAAGTGATTCTCCTACCTCAGCCTTCCAAGTAGCTGGTACTACAGGCGCACACCACCACGCCCAGCTAATTTTTGTATTTTTCGTAGAGATGGGTTTCATTATATTGGCCAGGCTGGTCTTGAACTCCTGACCTTGTAATCTGCCTGCCTCACCCTCCCAAAGGGCTGAGATTACAGGCGTGAGCCACCTTGCCCCCCCTAATATCCAATTTTTTAATCTTAAAGTAGAGACAGTGGGAAACTAATAAAACAAGGAAAATTTTAGGCCAGGCACAGTGGCTCACGCCTGTAATCTCAACACTTTTGGAGGCTGCCGAGGGCGGATCACTTGAGGTCAGGAGTTTGAGACCAGCCTGGTCAAAAAGGTGAAACCCCGCCTCAACCAAAAATAAAAAAATTGGCCAGGCATGGTGGTGGGTACCTGTTAACTCCAGCCATTTGAGAAGCTGAGGCAAGAGAATCACTTGAACGCGTGAGGTTTCAGTGAGCCGAAATGGTGCCACTGCCCTCCAGCCTGGGTAACAGAGTGAGACTGTATTTCTAAGAGAAAAAAAAAAAAATTAAAATGTTTTTATTAAAATTTTTTTTCCTTTTCCTTTTTTCTTTTTTCTTTTTTTTTGGAACACAAAGTAGTGTTCCAAAAAAAAAAAAAATTTTTTTTTAAAGAATTCCTGGCTGGGTGTGGTGGCTCATGCCTCTAATCCTAGTACTTTGGGAGGCTGAGGTGGGCAGATCACATGAGGTTAGGAGTTGGAGACCAGTCTGGCCAGCATGGTGAAACCATGTCTCTACTAAAAATACAAAAAAATTAACTGGGTGTGGTGGTGTGAGACTGTATTCCAGCTACTTGGAAGGCTAAGGCAGGAGAACTGCTTGAACCTGGGAGGTGGAAGTTGCAGTAAGCTGAGATCACATCATTACACTCCAGCCTGGGTGACAGGCTGAGACTCCATCTCAAAAGAGAGAGAAAAAAATAATAATTCCTTAATATAAAAATATCATAGTCAGTTGCAGTGGTTTACACCTATAGTCCCAGCACTTTGAGAGGCTGAGGTGGGTGGATCTCCTGAGTTCAGGAGTTCAAGACCAGCCTAGCCAAGATGGTGAAACCCCATCTCTACTAAAAATACAAAAATTAGCTGGGCTTGGTGGTGGGGGTCTGAAATCCCAGCTACTTGGGAGGCTGAGGCAGAGAATTTCTTGAACCTGGAGGCAGAGATTGAGCCTAGATCACACCATTTGCACTCCAGCCTGGGTGACAGAGTGAGACTTCATCTAAAAAAAAAAAAACTGTCTATCTATCTATTTAATGTTCAAATTTCTAATTAGCTCATAACTGATAGATGTTTTCTGTGTTTGTTTTATAGTTTTTTTTCTTTCTTTTTTTTAATTAAAAATTTTTTTAAATTTTATTTTAAGACGGGGTTTCACCATGTTGGTCAGGCTGGTCTTGAACTCTTAACCTCAGGTGATCTGCCTGCCTCGGCCTCCCAGAGTGCTAGGATTACAGGCATGAAACACCGCGCCCAGCCTGTTTTATAGGTTTTTAAAAAATGTTATGTCTGTTTTAAAAACGTCTGTTGTGTTCACACTTCTGTGTCCTCGTTTTCCAGAAGCACTTACAACAGCACGATAGCTATTTGTTAAACAAAGATGAACAAGACAATCCCTAACCTCAAAAAACACACAGTGAGGCTAAGCCTCTCTGCAGCCTCAACAATGGAGGCTAAGGCAAGAGGATTGCTTGAGCCCGGGAGTTTGAGGCTGCATTGAGCTATGATCATACCACTGCACTCCAGCCTGGGCAACACAGCAAGACCTTGTTTCCAAAAGTAAATAAATACATAAATAAATGAAAATCAAAATTAAAAACCACAGGTCTTCTCATGAGACCTGGTTGTCTACGAAAAAAAATAAATAATAATTAAAAATAATAATAAAATAAAAACCACAGGTCATGGCCGGGTGCGGTGGCTCACGCCTGTAATCCCAGCACTTTGGGAGGCCGAGGCAGGTGGATCACGAGGTCAAGAGATCGAGACCATCTTGGTCAACATGGTGAAACCCCGTCTCTACTAAAAATACAAAAAATTAGCTACTCAGGAGGCTGAGGCAGGAGAATTGCCTGAACCCAGGAGGCGGAGGTTGCCTTGAGCCGAGATCGCGCCATTGCACTCCAGCCTGGGTAACAAGCGAAACTCCATCTCAAAAAAAACAAAAACAAAAACAAAAACAAAATACCGCAGGTCACTACTTGTCTCCGCTTATACAGTTTCTAAAGGGACTGAACTTCCTCTTATTTCAGCTACTACAGTCCTGTGCTACTTCTCCACTCTTATACATAGATAAAGGGAAGACAAATTGATGTTTTTTAAAAAAGGAAAATAATTTGGTAATAACTATCAAATTTTTGATGATGCAGTAGTTTCACTACCAGGAATTCTCTTAAAAATATATTTACTGGCCAAGTGTGGTGGCTCACGCCTGTAATCCAAACACTTTGGAGGCTAAGGCGGGCGGATCACCTGAGGTCAGGAGTTCAAGACCAGCCTGACCCCGTCTTTAAAAAAAAAAAAAAAAAAAAAATATATATATATATATATATATTTACTCAAAATGACAAAGGGTTAATCACGAGGATGTTTCTACAGCATAGAAGGTAATAGCAAAATCCTAGAAGCAACCAGAATGCTTATCAAAGGAGAAGCAGTTTGCTGGACGCGGTGGCTCACACCTGTAATGCCAGCACTTTGGGAGACGGAGGGGGGTGGATCACCTGAAAGGAGTTTGAGACCAGCCTGGCCAACATGGTAAAACCCTTTCTCTACTAAAAATACCAAAAATTAGCCAAGCATAGTGGTGGGTGTCTGTAATTTCAGCTACTCAGAAGGCTGAAACAAGAGAATCACTTGAACCTGGGAGGTGGAAGTTGTGGTGAGCTGAGATCGTGCCATTGCACTCCAGCCTGGGCAATGAGAGTGAAACTCTGTATCAGAAAAAACAAAAAAACAAAAAAACGGATGAGCAGTAAAATATGACACTCTCACTTTGTAGAATATTTTGTAGCTATTAATAAGAAGGAGCTGGCTGGGCATGGTGGCTCATACCTGTAATCCCAGCACTTCAGGAGGCCAAACCAGGAGGATCACCTGAGGTCGGGAGTTTGAGACCAGCCTGAGCAACATGGAGAAACTCCATCTCTACTAAAAATACAAAATAAACCGGGCATGGTGGTGCATGCTTGTAATTCCAGCTACTCAAGAGGCTGAGGCAGGAAAATCACTTGAACCCGGAAGGCAGAAGTTTCAGTGAGCTGAGATTGCGTCATTATGCCTGGGCCACAAGAGCAAAAACTCCGTCTCAAAAAAAAAAAAGAAAGAAAGAAAGAAGTAACATCACTATAGTGATTTAGAACATGGACTTCAGAGCCAGATTGCATGGGTTCGAAGCCTCACTCTTTTCTATCACTTGTTGTCTGTGTGACCTTGGGGGCACTCTGGCTCTGTTTTTTTTTTTTTTTTCCTGAGATGGAGTCTCACTCTGTTGCTCAGGCTGGAATGCAGTGGCATGATCCTGGCTCACTGCAGCCTCCGCCTTCTGGGTTCAAGTGATTCTCCTGCCTCAGCCTCCTGAGTAGCCAGGACCACAGGCATGTGTCACCACCCCCAGCTAAATTTTGTATTTTTAGTAGAGATGGGGTTTCACCATGCTGGCCAGGCTGGTCTTGAACTCCTGACCTCAAGTGATCTGCCCACCTCAGCCTCCCAAAGGGCTGGGATTACAGGCATAAGCCACTGCACCTGGTGAGTTTTTAAAAATTGTCTTAAAATTTTTTTGTGGGGGTAGAGACAGGGCCTCACTTTGTTCCCCAGGCTAGTCTCGAACTCCTGGCCTCAAGCGTTCCTCCTGCCTTGGCCTCCAAAAGTGCTGGGATAACAGGCCTGAGCTACCGCACCCAGCATCAGTTTTTTAAAATCTGTAAATTAGGGTAATAATTTTGCACATCAGAGGACTGTTGTGGGGAATAAACAAATTAATAAAGTACTTAAACATTACCTGGCAATAATTAGAGCTAAAGGTGACATTAATATTAAATATTGAAAAATGTCCATGCCCTATTGTTTCATTTAATTAACTAGTATTTTAATTGAAAAATTGAAAAGAGGCCGGGCGCGGTGGCTCACGTCTGTAATCCCAGCACTTTGGAAGGCTGAGGTGGGTGGATCACAAGGTCAGGAGTTTGAGATCAGCCTGATCAACATGGTGAAACCCCCTCTCTACTAAAAATACAAAAAAAAAAAAAAAAAGAAAGAAAGAAAAGAAAAATTGAAAAGCACATGGTAAAAAATTTTCACAAAAGATGATAGGGCATATAATGAAAAATAAGTTTGTCTTCCACGTCAGAGGCAAGCTGTTCACAGCTTCACAGGAATCTTTCCAGAAATGTTTCCTATATATGCAAACTTATATGTGTTAATATATTTCACACATACCCACATTCAAACACAAATACTCCTTTTCCTTTTAAACACTCTGTCTTGCAGCTTGCATTTTTGTTTTTTGTGTTTTTTTTGTGACGAAGTCTCACTCCGTTGTCTAGGCTGGAATGTAGTGGCATGATCTTGGCGCAATGCACTTCTGCCACCTGGGCTCAAGCTACTCCCTCCTGAGTAGCTGGGATTACAGGCACACACCAACACACCTGGCTAATTTTTGTATTTTTAGTAGAGATGGGGTTTCACCATGTTGGCCAGGCTTGTCTTGAACTCCTGACCTGAGGTGATCTGCCCACCTCAGCCTCCGAAAGTGCTGGGATTACAGGCGTGAGCCACCGTGCCCCGCCACAGCTTACTTTTTACACTTTACAGTGTATCTTGGAAGTTGTTCCATATAAGCATATATTTTTTTTTTTTGAGATGGAGTTTCCTTCTTGTCCCCCAGGCTGGAGTGCAGTGGAGCAATCTTGGCTCACTATAACCTCTGCCTTACTGGTTCAACCAATTCTCCTGCCTCAGCTTCCCAAGTAGCTGGGAGTACAGGCACTCACCACCACGCCTGGCTAATTTTTTGTATTTTTAGTAGAGATGGAGTTTCACCCTGTCGGCCAGGCTGGTCTCGAACTCCTGACCTTATGTGATCCACTCGCCTCAATCTCCGAAAGGGCTGGGATTACAGGTGTGAGCCACAACACCTGGCCAGCATACACAGATTTAAGTAATTATTTTTTCCCACTGTTATGTTCATGACAAACCCATTGTCAAGTTGAACCATCATAAATCAGGGACTGCCTCTACAGAGGAACTATATACCTAGTTTCCTACTGACAGATATTTTAGTGGGCTATAGTCTCTTGCTATTACATATAATGCTGCAATTAACATCTTTGGATATATCCCAAATATGGCTAAGTTTAAAAGAAGATAGGCTCCATATTTTTTTTTAAGCATGTTTGTGTGTGCACAAATGTGTATCCACTGAAAATGATTGCAATCTGTAGGAATTCACAATTCGAGGAATGGAGAGAGCAAAAGACAGTTTGAACAAAGAGCCTGTATAAGTGTTTTGTTTTTAAATCTCTGTTTTTTTTTTAAGACAAGGTCTCACTCTAGTCCAGGCTGGAGTGCAGTGATGTGATTTTGGTTTACTGCAGCCTCGACCTCCAGGCTCAAGCGATCCTTCCATCTCAGCCTTCCAAGTAGCTGGGACTACAGATGCATGGCACCACACTCAGCTAATTTTTGTATTTTTTGTAGAGACGACGTTCACCATGTTGCCCGGGCAGTTCTCAAACTTGTCGGCTGAAGTGATCTGCCTTCCTCACCCTCCCTGAGTGCTGGGATTACAGGCATGTACCACCATGCCTGGCCTGTGTTTTGTTTTTTAAAATGTTACCTATACAATAAAATCTTTTTTTTTTTTATTGCATTTTAGGTTTGGGGGTACATGTGAAGAACATGCAAGATTGTTGCATAAGTACACACACGGCAGCGTAATTTGCTGCCTTCCTCCCCTTCATCTATATCTGGCATTTCTCCCCATGCTCTCTCTCCCCAACTCCCCACCCCCTGCTGTCCCTCCACTATTTTCCCCCAACAGACCCCAGTGTGTGATGCTCCCCTCCCTGTGTCCATGTGTTCTCATTGTTCAACACCCGCCTATGAGTGAGAACATGTGGTGTTTGATTTTCTGTTCTTGTGTCAGTTTGCTGAGAATGATGGTTTCCAGGTTCATCCATGTCCCTGCAAAGGACACGAACTCATCGTTTTTGATGGCCGCATAATATTCCATGGTGTATATGTGCCACATTTTCCATGTCCAGTCTATCATCAATGGGCATTTGGGTTGGTTCCAGGTCTTTGCTATTGTAAACAGTGCTGCAATGAACATTCGTGTGCATGTGTCCTTATAGTAGAATGATTTATAATCCTTTGGATATATACCCAGTAATGGGATTGCTGGGTCAAATGGAATTTCTATTTCTAGGTCCTGGAGGAATCGCCACACTGTCTTCCACAATGGTTGAACTAATTTACACTCCCACCAACAGTGTAAAAGTGTTCCTATTTCTCCACATCCTCTCCAGCATCTGTTGTCTCCAGATTTTTAAATGATCGCCATTGTAACTGGCGACAATAAAATCTTTTCAGAGGTTCTACCCTAAAACAGAAGCAATCATTTTATCTTCTGGTCCTCTCAACCAACAGCATTGGACCTGCCTATTTCCCTTGCTAGCCAAGGAGCTTGCCTAGTTAACCTCCAATACCCAGTCCAGTGCCTGGCACATAGAAGGTATTCACTAAACACTTCTGGGATGAATGAAGATACTCCTCTGACCTAGGTTTTGCTGTATATAAAATCAGAATGATAAAGTGACCCACATCTCACGGCCATCCTAAACAATTCCTGAGCAAAAAAAAAAAAAAAAAAGCAATTCCTGAACAATGTGAATGTTCTTAAAAAACATGAAACTGTGTAAAAAGACTCAAGAATAGCTGCTTAATCTAAAATTTATCCTGTGGGCTAACCAGGTCAAAATGCCTGTAGTATAGCTGGTTCAAAGGATGGTGGCATCTTCCCTATGTGAGAACAGCCTATTAAATTTGTGAGCAGGAGGGACAGAGTTGTCAGCTGAGCAGAGCCCTGCTGTTGAGTCCTCTAGGTCTGAAACCATCTTGGCCTGTTCCACCCCGGAAATAAATCATTTTGGAAAGATTGTGTCCCCTGAGCTGCAAGTCTGTTAAAAAGTTGGATCCTTGGCTGGGCGTGGTGACTCATGCCTGTATTCCTGGCACTTTGGGAGGCTGAGATGGGAGGTTTGCTTGAGCTCAGGAGTTGGAGACCAGCCTAGGCAACATGGCAAGATCTCATCTCTACAAAACAAAAAAACAAAAACAGAATTAGCTAGGTATAGTGGTGCAAGCCTATAGTCTCAGCTACTTGGGAGGCTAAGGTGGAAGGCTCACTTGAGCCCAGGAGGTCAAGGTTGCAGTAAGCTGAGATCGTGCCACTGCACTCCAACCTGGGTAACAGAGTGAGACCCTATCTCAAAACAAAAAACAGTTGGAGCCTTTATATTAGCTATCACCCAACGATTACCCAACCATAGAGTAATCTTAGAATATTGAAGGGGCAGAAAGGTGTAATAACTTTCCTTCTTATCATAAGGGTCAGGGCCAACACTCCTATAACAAAAGACAGGTTAACAACAGAAAAGCGGCTGGGCACAGTGGCTCAAGCCTGTCATCCTAGCACATTAGGAGGCTGAGGCAGGCAGATCACTTGAGGTCAGGAGTTCAAGACCAGCCTGGCCAACGTGGTGAAACCTTGTCTCTACTAAAAATACAAAATGTAGTCAGGTGTGGTGCTGGGCACCTGTAATCCCAGTTACTTGGGAAGCTGAGGCAGGAGAATTGCTTGAACTTGGCAGATGGAGGTTGCAGTGAGCCAAGATCACGCCATCACACTGGGCGACAGAGTGAAACTCCATCTCAAAAAAAAAAAAAAAAAAGCATAATTTATAACTTTCTCTTTTAATTGTTGTTGTTGTTTAGAGACAAGGTCTTGCTCTTTGCCCAGGCTGGAGTACTGTGGCACTATCATGGCTCATTGCAGCCTCAAACTTCTGGGCTTAAGCTTTCTTCCTGCCTCACCCTCCCCAGAAGCTGGGGTTGCAGGTACACACCACCATGTCCATCTAAAGGCATATCAGATTTACCTAATCAAAAATTTATATGACATGGGAGCCTTCAAAAATGAAGACTCGAGGACTCAAGGAAAAAACTGCTTATTTTTTTATTTTTTATTTTTTTTTGAGACAGAGTTTTGCTCTTGTTACCCAGGCTGGAGTGCAATGGCGCGATCTCGGCTCACCGCAACCTCCGCCTTCTGGGTTCAAGCAATTCTCCTGCCTCAGCCTCCTGAGTAGCTGGGACTACAGGCGTGCGCCACTATGCCCAGCTAATTTTTGTATTTTTAGTAGTGACGGGGTTTCACCATGTTGACCAAGATGTCTCGATCTCTTGACCTTGTGATCCACCCGCCTCGGCCTTCCAAAGTGCTAGGATTACAGGCGTGAGCCACTGTGCCTGGCAAAACTGCTTATTCTTATGCTTAGATTCAGTGCAGCATGGACAGGTGTGTTGAAATGTAATTAGACAGAAAGGGAATGATCTAATAGTAACAGAAAGAGCAGGGAAACCCAGCAAGGCCTGTGTTCAGATTTTTTTTTGGCCTGTTTGTGTGGCATTCCTTTCTCCTGGGTTTAGGGCAGGGCCCCTTCTGAAATGAAGGTCTTATGATCTATTCTCAGAAAAGGCAGCTAGTGAATTTTACAGCCAGCTCCTACACAGAAGGATGGAGGAAGGTTGAAGTCCTGTATCTAGGTTTTATGACTGGCTTTGGAGAAGGGTTCTAGTTTCTATGATCTGCCTTGGGAGAAGAAGCGAAGCAGGAGAAAGAAGTACAGGAGAAGAGCAGAAAGAGACTTTGCTTCTGAGGTCCTTTCAGTGTCTTTCAATTCAAAGTATTAGCATGCTGGCTGTGTGCTATTGCTTATGCCTGTAATCCCAGCACTTTGGGAGGCTAAGGTAGGTGGATCACAAGATCAGAAGACTGAGACCAGCCTGGCTAACATGGTGAAACTCCATCTCTACTAAAAATACAAAAAATCAGCTGGCCATAGTGGCATATGCCTATAGTCCCAGCTATTTGGGAGGCTGAGGCAAGAGAATCACTTGAACCCAGGAGGTGGAGTTTTCAGTGAGCTGAGATCATGCCACTACACTTCAGCCTGGACAACAGAGCAAGACTCTGGCTCAAAAAAAAAAAAAAAAAAAAGTATTAGCATGCCAAAGTGCCATATGCCATACTTTGGGGTATTGTTTTCTGAGCCCCAACAGTAGTAAGGAGATGACAGTGATAATTCTTTTTTTTAAATTGAGACAGAGACTTGCTCTGTCCCCCAGGCTGGAGGGCAGTGACTTACATCAAGAAATTTTGTCAGCTCACTACAATCTCTACCTCCCCGGTTCATGCAATTTTTGTGCCTCGGCCTGCCAGGAATCTGGGACTACAGGTGCACGCCACCATGCCCAGCTAAATTTTTTTGTATTTTTATTAGAAACAGGGTTTCACCATGTTGGCCAGGCTGGTCTAGAACTCCTGACCCCAGGTGATCTGCCTGCCTCAGCAAGGGTGGATCAACTGTGTCAAATGCTCCTGAAAGCCTGTGGATAAGGATTGAGAAATGCCCACTGGAAATGCATATGAAGTTTATCAGTGGCCTTGACAAGAGCAGGTTCCATAGAGTGGGTTCAGGAAAATCAGGGAGGCGAGAAAATAGAAATGGGGCCGGGCGCGGTGGCTCAAACCTGTAATCCCAGCACTTTGGGAGGCTGAGGTGGGTGGATCATGAGGTCAAGAGATCGAGACCATCCTGGTCAACATGGTGAAAACTCCATCTCTACTAAAAAAATACAAAAAATTAGCTGGGCATGGTGGTGTGCGCCTATAATCCCAGCTCCTCAGGAGGCTGAGGCAGGGGAATTGCCTGAACCCAGGAGGCGGAGGTTGCGGTGAGCCAAGATCGCGCCATTGCACTCCAGCCTGGGTAACAAGAGCGAAACTCCGTCTCAAAAAAAAAAGAAAAAGAAAATAGAAATGGGAATTACACACAATTCTTTCAGAGTTGTTTCATAAATGAGGACAGGTAATGTGTCAGTAATAAGAGGAGGATTCAGGCTCAAGAATGGAAAGCTGTTACAACACATTTGTAGGCTGTAGGAAAGGTGTAGTAAAGAGAGAATTGTTGATGTTAACCTTTATTGGATACTTACTAAGTAGGAGCTGCATGAGGCATTTTATATAGATTATTTTCTTTAACCTGCACACTCAACCAATGAGGTAGAGAATGTGATCATCCCTATTTCACAGAAGACAAAACTGAGACATGGAAAGGATGGGGTACATGGACATTGTCATAGGGGTAGTTAGTCAGGGAACTTGGATGTAACCAGGATGTCTGGCTCCAGGGCCCACATTCTCATTCTCTTTCATTTGCGTTTTTAAAATTATTTTTGAGACAGAGTATCACTCTGTCACCCAGGCTGGAGTGCAGTGGCGTGATCTTGGCTCACTGCAACCTCCACCTCCCAGGGTCAATTGCTTCTCCTGCCTCAGCCTCCCGAGTAGCTGGGATTACAGGCATGCGCCACCATGTCTGGCTAATTTTTGTATTTTTAGTAGAGACATGGTTTCATCATGTTGGCCAGGCTGGTCTCGAACTCCAGACCTTAGGTGATCCACCCCCTCAGGCTCCCAAAGTGCTGGGATTACAGGCATGAATCATGGTGCCCAGCTTTTCATTTGTATTTTTAAAACTTTTTTTTTTTGAGACAGGGTCTCACTTTGTTGCCCAGGCTGGAGCGTAGTGGCACAATCACGGCTCACTGTAACCTCTTGCCTCTGGGAGCTTAAGTAATGCTCCCACTTCAGCCTCTTGAGTAGCTGGGACCACAAGAGTACACCATCACACCCAGCTTATTTTTGTATTTTTTGTAGAGATGGAATCTCACTGTATTACCCAGACAGGTCTTGAATTCCTGGGCTGAAATGATCTTCTTTCCTCAGCCTCCCAAAGTGTTGGGATTACAGGCATGAGCCACTGAACCTGGCCTATTTAAATTCTTTTTTTTTTTTTAATAGAGACGGGGTTTCAGCATGTTGGCCAGGCTGGTCTTGAACTCCTGACCTGATGATCTACCTGCCTTGGCCTCCCAAAGTGCTGGGATTATAGATGTGAGCCACTGTGCCCAGCCTAAATTCATTTCTTATTGCAAATTGTAACCACTATCTAAAATTTATATCTATTATAATTTGTTCTCCCCTTGGTAGGAAAATACAATTATTGGCCTTTCAAGACTCCACTGAAATTTGCAACTGACTGCTCCTACTCTGCCCTCTGCTTCTGGAGCAAATCCTCTCATAGCGCCTGTGGGGCTATCCAACCCAACACTCCCAGTATTCCTATGTGTCTGTTTTCTTGTAAGTGCCCTGCAAGGGAACAGAAGCTCCTCAAGGGTTTGGGCTGCCTCTAATTCTCCTTTCTATCCCTGGCTGGCAGGACAAGTCTTCAAACAATAAATATCTGTCAAGGAGTTTTATGGATGCATAACTGAATGAATGTATAAAGCATACTAGGGGCTGGGTGCGGTGGCTCATACCTGTAATCCCAGCACTTTGGGAGGCTGAGGCGGGATCACTAGGTCAGGAGTTCGAGATTAGCCTAGCCAACATGGTGAAACCCCATTCCTACAAAAATACAAAAATTAGCCAGGCATGGTGACATGCACTTGTAATCCCAGCTACTCGGGAGGCCAACACAGGAGTAGTGCTTGAACCCAGGAGGCGGAGGTTGCAATGAGCCAAGATTGTGCCACTGCACTCCAGCCTGGGTGACAGGGTGAGACTCTGTCTCAAGAAAAATAAAAGCATTCTAAAAATATTGGAAGCCACAAGACAGCTGAATATGGGCATCTCCACCTACAAGCTGCATAGAGACAAAAGTGCTCTCAAAATTCAAAGTGCAAAATCCTTGGGGTTTGAAGGTGAGGATACTTGTTACAAAGCACAGGTTCTAAAAAAAGTACAGATTCCTGGGCTTGACCCCCAGAAATTCTCTTCAGTATTTCTGAGGTAGAGTCCAAGAGTTAGTACAAGGGGTTTCTTTCCTTTCCAAAGAATTCCATGCAATATTCCATAGTCCCCTGACTGGAAGTTTGGGGAATCAGGAGAGTTGGATTCTAGGCCACATTCTACCACTTGTCATCTGGGAAAGGTTGCCAGACAAAATATGGCATACAATATTTGGGACATGCAACATTAAAAAATTTTTCATTACTTAGATGAAATGCAAATTTAACTGGGCATCCTATATATATGTCTGTTTGCTGAATCTGGCAACCTTCCAGCTGGGTGACTTCAGCCAAGCTGCGTAACTTCCTAGAGCTTCAGTCTACTTATCTATAAAATGGAGAAACTTGATCTTTCCTTATGGTCCTGAGGGTTGAGAGCTTCATGTAAAGGGCTGAACTGCAGCGAATGGCACATGGTAAGTGCCCAGTAAATGAGCTATAAGAATTAAAGACATTTAATTTTAATCTCTCTTACAACACTAAAATGAAATTCATCAAGTAAGATGTACATATCCTTCTCAGAAATACATCTTATGGCCAGTCTGTCTGGCAGCTGGCTGAGATGGTGAGATATGGACAGCCCGAGGCAGTCTTGGGCCCTAAAGAGAGGGTTAATGGTGGGATTCTAAATTCTCATTCAGGCTGGATGTGGTGGCTCATGCCTGTAATCCCAGCACTTTGGGAGACCAAGGCAGGATGCTCACTTGAGCCCTGTAGTTTAAGGCCAGCCTATGTAACATGGCGAGACCTTGTCTCTACCAAAAATACAAAAATTAGCCAGGCATGGT